CTGCTAAAATAGAAGTGCCGAAAACAAAATGTGTTGCTGCCTTTGACACAGAGATAACATCTTCTTGCCCAAATAATAAAGCCAACCCTTTTTTTCATGCAAAGCTTATCAGATATTGAACCTATCTGCTTGTTAAATTATCTAGGTTTATGTGCTAAAAAAGGTTCACAGACTTCTTAGCACGATATCTGCATGTAGCCGCCCCCTCCCCCAAGGCTCATGGGTATCATGGAGGATTGTTGTCATAAACCCTGCAACTGCTTGTTCGTCACATAGGCAGAAAACATAAGCTTGAAAACCACAAGCCAGCAGCTTGTAAAGTATAGTGTATGGTTTCACACAGCTCTGAATATTTTGAATATATATTACAAACTGTTTTCAACAGCCGATAACTTTCTTACTTACAGCTTCTACCTGGTGAGCCGCTCCTGGCAGCGTTGGGGGGAGATATTCTTACACCTTGTTTTAGCTCATCTTATCAAATCATTATCCATACCACTACTGTACACTGTATGCAAAAACTAAATAGAGAAAAGTTGTTTAAACAAAACAGTTTTAAAAATCATGAAATTATCATTTCACCACTTGCAGCACATTAAAGTCAGTAATTGCAACAGATAGTCTAATCCTTAATCCAATTGAAATGTCATGGTGGGATCTGAGAGCTGTGCATAAATAAATCCCTGCAAACCTGAATGAACTGAAGCAAAAGAAGAGTGGGCCAATATTTCTCCACAATCATCAGTCATACAGAAAACAATTACTTCCAAGTTCTTGCTGCTCAGGTTTGTTCTAGAAGCTATATAATCAAGCCATATACTTAGCTTTTCACAGCATTGCTTAGAGTCCTGTTTGCAACTGAGCATGAAGTCTTTGAACTGGTGCTGGTGATCATAAGGGCTGCTTAATCTAGTCACTAATACCTGTCCTTCAACATCAACATTTACATCAGCAGTTCCTCTCCTCTATTCTCTTCTTCTCTTCTATTTAACTCCAGTCAAACAGCATATCTCAGTGACTTAATATACCATGTTATAGTACAATGTTGTACAATCTGTTGGATATTTTGTTATAAGAAGTAAGTAGCTATAAATCTGAAGTAAATTGAATGAATAGCGTCAGTGTGATTCAAAACTTTGAACCGGTCAACTGACATATGAATGCTACCAAGCACAGAGGCCTGTTGCTATGTGGACTTAAACTAAATTAGCTAAGTATTTTTCCTCTGGCAGTCTTTCTGCAGCACACCACCACTGAAAATTTTACCACTATATTGGAAATCGTAGGACTAAATTCAACAGATGTCCCCGGTAAGTCTATTAAAGGTAAACTATGTTTCCACATTATGGTAAACATTTGGTATTGGTCCTGAAATTGATGTATTTTTTTACTCTGTTCTGTTTTGGCTTCTGTTTTTCAGATGCCACAGTCTATGTGGTTTTTGCTGCACGCTCTGTGCTGCTACTGCTACTGCTGTGTGCCCTGGTTATAGTTCACAAGTACAAATATTACAAATTGAAAGGTATTTTTTTAATCATAACATACCCATAGCATTCACAACAGACCAATGCACTGAAATTTTCATGCAAAAAAGGCATAAAACTTTCTTATGACATGTGTATTCAGAAGCTGAAGTCCCCATAAGCAGACATCCACCCAAGGCAGCAGAGGAAGAGGAACTGAGTGCAGCAGATGTACAAAAGCTAAAGTCCATCGTCTGTCATAAACCCTATTACAAATGCCCTCCACTATTCTTTGCTTAACAGTGTTTTCTTTCTTCTTTTTTCTTTTCCCTCACTAACCAACTAGTCCCATCAGATGACCACTCATGTCTGAGCTTGCCTCATCAGTGCTGGAGCCAACCCAGCCAACACTGGGCAAGAGGTAGTATCTGGTTAGACACCATGTTTCTATTATTTTCAGGCCTTAGAGTACAATAAACTCGGTTTTATCTGAATTTAGAAGCAGGAAATAAGAGGTCATCCAGGCCTGTATGCCATTAAGAAATTCCTGCAGTTTAACTAATAGATGTGTATCATACAGCTTCAAGGACAGATAAGCTGGGTATCAAATATATTTGTGCATTAAAAGCATCCAAACAAGGGATACAAATGTATTGCACAGAAAACAATTTACGTTATACTTGAAATTAGTGCTGTCAGCGTTAATCTCATTAAAATGAGGTTAACACCATAACAGCATTAACACGGTAAATCTCTGTTAGCCCCTCGCACACGGATCGCCGCGTGCGAGGGGCTGCACGGCGCTAACGCGTTAGCGAGCTAACTGCTCTAACACGTTAACACCCTGCAGCCCTTGCACGGGGCGATCTGCTGTTTGCTCTTTGTTGGTTCTTCTTTAAATTTCTGGAAATCATGAATTTTTGGTGTGCACGAAAAGGCAGACCTTAAAACAGCATTGTGCCTTTTAGCACAGTGAGGAAAAGATGGGTCAAACTGGAAAAAAATCACAACACAACAGAAGATACTGTTGAAATAAAAATTTCTAATAAGAAAAACAGTTAAACAGTGCCAGTACTAGATTATTCTGTTTGACAATAGCAGCAGAATTTAATATACAATTACTGAAATCGTTTGTAATCCCCACTAGTTTTATTGTTGTGAAATGGTTGCTCTTGATTTATTTAATGTTCATCTCCTATTTTTTCTGATATGTTTGTCTTCATTTGTATTATTTGATATAACTTAAATGATGTGCCCTACATGTGACATTTTCACATACCTGTGACACTTTAAAAAACCCAAATTGTAAATTATCTACAAAAGTCAATAATTACATCTTTTTTCTTTCTCAGCAGGTGATCCAGGTGATTGATATATGCATTTTTTTTTCTCTGCCCGTTCTGTTGGTTTTTGTCTTTTGCCCTTCTCCCCCGTCCCTCTTCTCAGCTGTTTCTCTTTCCCTCTTTCTTTCTCCCCTTCTTTCCCCCAGTCAAGTCTGTCCCGTATTCAGTAAGTGAAAATAAAATAAACAATAAAAGGTGAATCAAATGGACCATTACGGCAAGGCTGGGATGGTCAGTTTGGTAAAGTAAATCCGTTGGGCATCTTTCTTTGCCTTTAGACAACAATTCTGATGGCAAAAGAGCCACACGGGACAGGCCAAAAAAAAAATAATAATTTCATCTGTATCTGTGCTATTCTTGCTGTCCTGGGACTGTTTCATTAGGCCAATAGCTTTTGGATGAGGAGTATATCCAAATACTGCCTTCACCAGAATTTCATCCTGATATGTCTCATATTGTACATGCCGGGGACATGCTGATTCCGCGTTTTCATCAAAGGCAGATGCAGCCAGAAGCTACTGCACAACTGCAGGTGGCTCTCATCCAGGAGACAAGGCAACAACAGATCCAGATACATGTGCAGTCCATGGGCAGATAAATTACACCTCCACAGGAGGCAATACGTCATATTACACACCTTGTGTTTACATATATATTAGTGAACGTCTGTACTGTTATAACAGGTCAACTGTTGGATGAAAATCGAAAGATTTTAGAGCTGGGCTAAGTCTTCAATGTTTCAAAATCCTAACAACGCCCCTGTTGCACAGCCACGAATTTATATGTAAACTATGCGTACAAAGCAACTCATCAGTGTATTGTTGGATGTGCTATCATGGTTTGGGGCCTTATTTCAGCAGTGGTGTTGGAGATTTTGTCAAAATTGCCACTGAAAGTTTTTTTGTTTGTTTGTTTGTTTGTTTGTTGTGTATTTAGATTTAGAATTTCTAAAGATGTGCTGCATATAACCTGCCTAAAACTTTGGAGTTGTTGTTTTAAAATAAAGTGCCAAAAGTCTCCCTCTACCAAGAAAATGATTTAATTATCATTTGCCCAAAACAAAGAAGAGAGATGGACTCGCAACAAAATAGCCGATCAGCTGATCATTAAGCAGTTTCATGATTGAAGTAGCAGCAAGAGAGGGAGGGAGAGAGAAGAGGCAGTCACTCCATATATTGGTTGTTAAGCTTAACGTGGGAATGTTTTACTAACATTCAGAGATGAACTTACACACTTGCTTTACTTCTCTCTGGGATAGCTTTCTCAGAGATGAAACGCTGGATTGGTAGGGAGGCTACACACAGCCGCTCATTCACGTGAGCACACTGCTCCGAGGTGCTACTGTTATGAGCCGAGTTATGCGGTGTTGCAAGTTTTGTGAGGTGCTTTTTTGATATTTAATGGATCGGATTACATTTTTTATTTCTCTCCGATATCCGATCCAGTAATTTATGTCAGTATCGGGCCGATACCGATACCTAATATCGGATCGGTCCATCTCTAGTTTTAACGTAATAATTTCACAAATAATCATCATCTTGAGAACAGGAAGAGTCAAGGATGCCCTTCGTGGACCACAGCTCAAGCTCAACACCATAACCCCAGACATCCTCGACACCAAACTGGACCACCTGCTCCTGGATCAAAGGCTTCCTCACCACCGTCCTGAATCAGAAAGTCCCCCCACATACCACCCCTTCCCACTCACTACCGCAGCAATGGTCTGAATAATCCTCATCACTCAGGCCACTCATATGACTCTATACTCAGATCAAATCCTTTGCAATACTTCCAAGCACTCCTCTTGATTGCATATATTGCATATATTTCACCAGTTTGTTATTTATTCCTGTTGTCTTACTATTTATACTTTATTCCTGCTCCCAGCCTGGAGCACCCATAATTTTGTTGTAAATGTACAATGACAATAAAAGGTTATTATATTATATTATATTATATTATATTATATTATATTATATTATATTATATTATATTATATTTAGCATCTAAACAACAAATTCTGTATACTATACTACAGAGATTTAAAATGGTTCTCTTCTGGTATACGCTGAATTGGTCCCAGAGTTCTATTATTATTTATCGTATTATTATATACTTAGGTTTGTTGTTTGACTGATATTAGCATTTGATGATTAGCCGTGTCATCTGAGCCAACATGCGTAACTAGGCAACACCAAACAAACAAACCTACAGCTTGGTCCGGACTGTTAATGTTAGTGCTGCTACTTTTTATTTGGGACTAAATCTGCTTTAATCAGTCCAAATAAATCGCGTCTTTTTTCTTGCAGGCCATTTGAATTGTTAAAAAAAATGTGCTCGGATGTTGTAGTATCACGACCTCACTATGACAGCAGAGCTGTAGCTCAGGGGGTCCCGGAGAAAGATCACCTTGTAGCGGCCCCACAGCCGTCCTCGGGCTTAGCCACAGCAGGGTACCGCTCGGCTAAATACACCCCGACTGAATGGTTCTCCAACTACCAAAACTTACTTCAGCAAGCCGGTACCGACTGCCACGAAGCTACGAGCCTTCAGCGAGAGTCCAGAACTTTGTACCAAGACACCGATGCATCCACTTTTAAGACACAGGCCGAGGGAACACGTCGTCTGGGAGAGAGACTACAAGAGATCCACTACTGGAAGTCTGAGCTGCAGCGGCACATCGAGCAGCTGCTGGCCGACACGGAGTCACTGGTGGCGCTGAAGATGCGGCTGGAGAAGGCGCTGGATGCCACCGAGATTCCCTATGCTATCGCCACAGACAACCTGAACTGCAGGGCGAGAAGGCTGGGAGCTGACCTGGTCAGAGACACTGTGGAGGAAGAGTTGTTCAAGGTGATAGACAATATTTCATGATCCAAAATAATATCGCCTAAGTGTGGGCTTGCAAAAATCTGAACGTATAATTATAATTAAAGTGAAATTTGTATTTGGATACATTTTCTCAAAAGTGTATTTAATTTGATATTTGACCAATTACTGCTTATGGGATATTTTAGACACATTGATATTTTATTTTGGAATAATGCTTTTCAAATTAAAGGGAAAGAATCGCACCTAAGTTAATGGCAAATGTGAACTAGTGTGATCTGATCAACTGGCAGTGGCAGATTTCACCTCAACAAACTAAGAATGTCTGCTTTTTCTTGTCTTCGGTGATATTTAAACATATTTGAACTGATCTTAGCTCTTACTGTAATATTTTCAGAGTAAAACGTTTAATAATGAGATCCAGCAGATGGCAGTAACACATTAACCAGTAAGATGACTCCGTCTTTTGCAGGAAGTGGACTTGATCAGGAGTGTCCAGGCTCTTCTGAAGAGAACTACAGCTCAGGTTGTCAGTCAAATCAAGTAAGTTTGAAACTCTGTTTAAAACTGCATAACATGTAGAATTTCATAACATGAAATATTTATATAACTATAAACAGAAACTTTTATTTCATGTGTGTCTATGCATCAGGTTGAACAGAGAAGCCAAGCACACTTTAGAGATGGACTGGTCTGATAAGTACCAGGCCTACCATTTTGATGACCACAGCGGAAGACACAGTAACATGAGTTCAGATACGCAGCACCATCCCAGCTCAGCTGCCATGCAAGAACAGTGAGTTTGAGCAGCTGGAGATATTACATAAACCTAAAAAAACGAGAAACAGTCCTGATAACTTTTTTCACTTGCTGCAGGGTGTCCAGCCACCCATTATGGACGAAGTTTACACAAGACAACCTGTTCAAGGCCGTGCAGGAGGAACAGGCTACCAACAGTCTCAGGTTAGAGCACATACTAGTTCATATACTGCAGCAGAATCTGAAACTGATCCTGGTTCATTATTTATTATTTGCTTTAAACAAATGGAATCCTTGTGTGTTAGATTGCTGGTAGAGCAGGTGCTGCAGGACACGGCTGAGGATCTGAGAGTCCAGTGCTCCAGTGTTGACCGAGCCTTTAGCGAACGCTGTGTGGAGCTGAATGAAGCCAAGACACAGCTCAATATGCAGCTCAAACAGGTGGATGAACTGACAGACAGAGTAAATGACTGGTTATTAGTTGATGATTGATTGTATTATCTCATGTGTAGATCTTGGAGCAAATTGGTGCCCAGGAGAAAAACATTGTGGCTCTGCAGCAGGCCATTCACAACAAAGAAGCTCCACTGCGAGTAGCTCAGTCCAGACTTTACCTTCGCTCCCTCAGACCCAACATGGAGCTGTGCAGAGATGAACCCCAACTCAGGTATGCATGCACAAAACAATAAACTGCTTTGTCTTTCTCGCTGCTCTGATTTTTTGCTTCTGTCTGTAGTTTGGAAGGGGAGGTGAAGCAGATTGATGCCACTCTGGCATCTCTACAGCAGAAGCTGAGCAAAGCCAGAGAGTCCCTGTCTCGTCTGGAGGAGTCACGCATGGCGTTGGAGAAAGACATCAACTGCAAAACCCACTCACTGTTCATCGAGAGGGAAAAGTGCATGACTCACCGTAAACGATACCCGACCACTTCAGCACTGTCAGGATACTGAAAGGTTCAACACGTCTTTGTTTGGCTCTTTTTTGTGTTGCTGTAATTAGTAAATGGTTATGACCGATATAAAGATGACTTTTTACATTTAGTACTAAAGGCATTAATATGACCACATATTTGATCACAGTTTTGTATACTGTTCGGTTTGTTTTGGTTCTGTCCTTTTAGCGTTCATAAGTAAAACACATATCTTCTGTCTCAGGGATATCTTCATACACATGATCACCATCATCATTATCATAGATGTGCCAGTTGTTCCGCTCCTCAGAAGAACCCAAATTGAAACACGCCTCAACAGCTTGGTTTTCATAAGTCTAAAAAACAAATAGAAGGAAAGATTACAATGACGAAGGAAACTCACAGTGAAATTCAGAGGTCACAATAAGATGGACACATGGCATAACAATTTCTTGATGATAACATATTTCTTTGGCCCACTAGCACCAGGTGCATCTATTTCTCTGATTTTTTTAGCCTAAACTGAGTAAATAGGAGTCTACAGAAATGTAATATTGAAATAATGTACACATTTTAGAGGACATGGTGGGAAGATGTTCCTGAGAATAAACGTAACATTTACAGGACCACTGTCAAAGCAAGCTAAATCGCCAGTACGGTGCAGCAAACATTGCACTTTCGAAATGCTTCTGATACTGTCTCATGTATTTTCCTCTCACATGATCCTTAAGCTTTACTTCTCCTGCTTCTTCAGTGTTTATCGTGATTCTGTTCATGGCGATGTCAGCTGCTGGAGCAACACAGAAAACAATAAATTAAAGTGCTTGTGTGTGGACAAATCTATATATGTGTTTGTGTGCATATGTGTGTATTACCTCTCACTTTGGTGCATTTATAAACCTTGATCCAAGCCACTGTCGGTATCAGCATTATAACCAGAGGTGCGGGCAGAAAGTAAACCAGAATGTGAATTGCTGCAGGAAAAGAAATATTTAAGAGAATAAAATCTGCACAGAGGTATCATAATATCCACATATCATATGTTCCAGTCTGTCTAAACAGCAGAAATAGCACCAAATCTCTAGACTGATCAGCATTTGGTACCTTGTGTTCCTTATTTCATTAATAGCTAAATGAGCACTCCTATTTTAGAATCACAAATCATTGAAATTTTGAATGCATGAGGATTTACATCACATTTAAGTCCCTTTAACCCAAAAGAAAAAGAGCTATCTAGGAGAACATAAATCTTACTGTACAGCAATATTTTTTGCTTCCTGTTTCTGAAATAATAAAATACATTATATATAATAAATACTTTCTGTATTAGCTTTCATAAGAGACATAACTATAAACTCTCACCTTTGACTTGAAGCTCAACAGCAGAGAAAACATCTCGTCCACTGTTTCTTTGGACACCACAAAGGTATAAACCAGAATCCCTTCGGGTCAGTCTGGTAATGCTCACTGTAAATTTTCCTAACACTTTGTCATCATCAAGTCTGAATCGTCCATTTTGTTTGTTGTCAGAGGTGATCAGTGCCTGCTGCAGACATGTGGAGGGCCGTGTTCCTCTGCAGATGTACTTCAGGCTGTTCTGGTACTCAGACTCATAAGGACAACTGATGGTCACGGAATCTTCTTTATAGCTTTTTATTTTGGTCACACTGTTACAGCAGCTGTCTGTCAGAAAGATAAACATCAAAAATTGTCACAAGCTAAAATAGAGACTAAGTAAATGCAAAGAAAAAGATGTCAAAAAACTAAAATAAGTTTCACATTTAATTTTATCCTGTCATCCAAAAATGTGTGCTGACTCTTATCTAAGCAACATGCTTATATCTGTACTGTATTACTTTTTATTTTTGTGTGTATCCTTTGCTTCCTTCCATGTTTCACGATGAAAGAGAAACCTCTGTTTCATCGTGACACATGGAGTGCAGAAAGGTCAAATGTTGCTCAAATGTTGTTCATGCTGACGAGTGTCACTAATGTAAGTGCAAAAAAAATTGTCAATGCTTTGTTTTGAAAACCTTCTCCAGTGTGCTCTAGCTACTTTTGACAAATCCATCTGTTGTCAGAGAACCCCGCGCCCCAAAACTACAACATACTAAATAACTATATAAGGTCATTTTATTTACCTTGCCCAACATCCACTGTGACTTCAGCGTAGATGTCATTTCCAAATAAGGAGATGCCACACCAGTATTTCCCTGCATCCCTTTTCTGCAAGTTGAAGATCGTCACAGTGAAGATTTGAGCCTTTGTGTCATCGTAGATGGAGTATTTTTTGTTTTTCGGTTGTGTCGTCATGATAAGAACATCACTCTTGCCACAGTTTGACTTGCACAGGTACTTCTCGGAAGATTGAAATCCCGTCTTATAGGAACAAGAAACATTAACATCTGCCCCCTCATATCCAGACACACGGATCACCCCTGCTGTGCTGGTGACACAGCTCAGAGAAACTGTAAACAGAAGAAAACAGTGTTAGGTACAGACAGGGACAGCTGGTATGAATGGGCTGACAGGGCTAGGCCCTCCCTTGGCTTTTCAAGAAAAAATTATAAGAAATTATATAAAATTCCCCTCTCACCCCTGCGGGCAATCTATCCTTCAAGCTCGGATCCTCAACCAGAGCCCTGGGGTTGAGGGTCCTGCGCAGTGTCTTACCTGTTCCTAGGACTGCGCTCTTCTAGACAGAGATCTCCGATGTTGTTCCCGGGATCTGCTGGAGCCACTCGCCTAGCTTGGGAGTCACCGCACCTAGTGCTCCGATTACAACTGGGACTACTGTTACCGTCACTCTCCGCATCTTCTCAAGCTCCTCTCTGAGCCCTTGGTACTTCTCCAGCTTCTTGTGCTCCTTCTTCCTGGTGTTGCTGTCATTCAGTATCGCTACATCTATCACTACAGCCATCTTCCTCTGCTTGTCTACGACCATGATGTCCAGCTGGTTAGCCACCACCATTTGGTCTGTCTGTACCTGGAAGTACCACAGGATCTTAGCTCGGTCATTCTCCACCACCCTACAGAGCGTTTCTCATTTGGACCTCGGGACTTCCAGGCCATACTGGGCACAGATGTTTCTGTATACTATGCCAGCCACTTGGTTATGGTGTTCCAGTTATGCCCTGCCTGCTAGCATCTTGCACCCTGCTGTTATGTGCTGGATTGTCTCAGGGGCATCTTTACACAGCCTGCACCTGGGGTCTTGCCTGGTGTGATAGACCCCAGCCTCTATGGATCTTGTGCTCAGAGCTTGTTCCTGTGCTGCCATGATTACAGCCTCTATGCTGTCTTTCAGTCCACCTTTGTCCAGCCACTGGTAAGACTTCTGGATGTCAGCCACTTCCTCTATCTGCCGGTGGTACATACTGTGCAGGGGCTTGTTCTTCCATGACGGTTCCTCCTCCTATATCTTGGGTTCTGCTGCCTGAGGTATTTGCCTCATCCTGGACTGTGGGGCTGACACTCACCAGTCCCCGGCCTCCTTCCTTCTGCTCAGCACACAGCCTCAGGTTGCTGGATGGGGTGAAACCCTCCATGCATGGAAAGGAGCTTCCTGGTCTTTATGTCAGTGGCTTCTATCCCCTCCTTTGGCCGACTGATTATCCCAGCAAGTTACCTGATCATGGGCAGGGCGTAGGTGTTGATAGGCCAGATCTTGTTCTTACCATTCATTTGACTCCTCAGGACTTGCCTGACCCTCTGCAGGTACTTGGTGGTTACAGCTTTCCTAGCAGCCTCGTCATGGTTCCCATTTGCCTGTGGGATCCCCAGGTGCTCGTAGCTGTCCTCTAGGTCTGCAATATTGCCTTCTGGTAGTTCATTCCCCTCTGTTCTGACTACCTTCCCTCTCTTTGTTATCATCCAAATACAATTCTCCAGTCCGAGCGACATTCCAATGTCCTTGCTGTATATCCCACCAGGATATGCTGTATATCCTAGTGAGATATACAGCAGGGAAATTAATGGTTCCTTAAAATCTTAAAAATGGGTTTTAAGGAAGCAGGGCAATTCCCATTTTTTTTAAATAAACACAAAAACTTTCTAAAATTCAGCAGCAGTGTTACACGTCACCAACAACTCCACATTCTCTCTCTGTACCTGGATAGTGTCTGCCCACAGCGCCAAAGGACTCTGCGAGCGATCTTCTCTCACCCTGGGAGCAGCTGTCCCTCACCTCTTTTTCTGTCTGCCTCATCTCTGTGCTATGTGCTATTCTGTGATCTCAGGGGCACAAGCTAAACACAAAATACAATTATTGTGTGTCTTTTGGCTAAGAAAATGGATGGAATTTCTTCTTTTTGAGCAAATTATATTTGATGAATGATTGTGATTGGTTTGGACATATTTGTAAGTGGTGACCAAAAACTGGAATCAAGTATTTGCATAATGAATCTTTCACATCGCTGCAGATGAATTTTGGTTCTCTATTCCCTGCAGAAGCATGCTATAATGACTGTACTGTATATATGTTCCCTATCTCCTCCTAGACAAGTGAAACAATCTTAATGAGATGTTATGAAACTTGATTAGGACAGTGTAATGCCAACATCTGTAGAGTGTATACAAATCCCAAAATTGTATACATATGTACATCTGACAGTTCAGATGTGCACTGAATGGAATTTATGCATAGCATAGAATGAAACACCATCACAGCATCATACTATAAAGATCGCGGTATATGTATGATTGTGTGTTTGTATGTTCCCTGTTTGCTAATGTCTATAATGGCCAAATAACATCACACAGGCTTTACATCCCTGACTGAAATTATCCCATTGCTTAGACTTTGTGATATCTAAAGAAAATTCTCAGTGCAAAATGAAACATGAGGCACTCCTCATGTTGTATTTATAATGAGAAGTGAACAACAGTCATTCAGTGCCTCATTTTTAGTAGTGCTAAGGAGATACATTCTGAGTACACCCACAGCACTGAGTGAGCAAATATTTATGAAAATAAAACATAAGGTGTGTGGATGTGGTTTAAAGTGAGTTTAATCCAGCATCTCTTCATTCAAAACAGAAGACTTGATTAGATTAGTTTGCACATAGCGACAGGCAAGCCTGTAGACAATTATATCCATAAAACCAGACAAATCTATTCTTAAGTGTTACATTTTTCAGCAATAGTCTCAATATAAGAAAGTTGTTTACATAAATTAAATGGACTGCTGTTAATAAATAAATGTACTTACTGCAGTGGACGAATAACAGGTACTGAGTGCGCCACATCTTCATGTACTAATGTGGTTGTAAATCTAATCATAGGTGCCAGCAAATATTAAAATCTCTCAGTTCCCCATTCAAATCCCCTTTCTGGTGCCATTTACTGCCTTGTGAACTTTCCAGTTAAAAGTTCAACCATTGAAAAAGAGAAGTCAGTATAAAAAAGCATAGTTCATATGCATTAAAGTTTCTATAACACCTTAAATTTGATTACTTTGTCAAAGCACATATCAACCCATGAGCAATCTGGATTGACTAATCACTACAGTTTGCTCCTGTGACATAAGTGTTTCACTCTGTCTTTCACTCATAAACATGGTACTTTTCTTTAATTTCTTTTAACATTGTTTGCCTTGGTTTGTTATGTTATGAGCCAGCTGCTCCCGAACCTTTATTTTCTCACTAATTTCTGCATTTGTCCTATGTGAGGGAGTTCTGCCTATACCATCTGTTCATGATGGCCTTACAAATATGCCTTCAATTATGCCAATACCAAAATATTTGATATGACCTAGGTATATTGTGACCCAGGATTTTGACAATAACCAAATGAACACAAAAAACCCCCGAAGAATGTGCATAACCAGGACAAAAAAGAATGAA